CACAGACCTATAGCCATCTAATCTTCGATAAGGGAGCTAAAACAATAGAATGGAAGAAAGACAACCTCTTCAGTAAATGGTGCTGGCAAAATTGGTTAACTACATGTAGAAAACTTAAGCTAGATCCTTATATATCACCCTGCACCAGAATCAACTCCAAATGGATCAAAGACCTTGAACTCAAAGCAGACACTCTGAAAACATTACAGGATGGAATAGGAGAAACCCTAGGTCTCCTTGGCTCAGGCTGAAATTTTCTGAATAGAGACCTGGAAACACAACAAATCAAAGAAAGGTTGGACAAATGGGATTGCATAAAGTTGCAGAGCTTCTGCAGGGCAAATGACATAGCTAGCAAGATCAATAGAAAGCCCACGGATTGGGAGAAGATCTTTACTAGCCATACAACGGACAAGGGTCTCATATCTAAAATATACTTGGAACTCAAAAAATTAAACCACCCAACAACAAATCCTCAAAGAAACAACTGCCCAATAAATAAGTGGGCGAAAGACTTAAAGAGAAACTTCTCTGAAGAAGAAAGAAGGATGGCCAATAGACACATGAAGAAATGTTCAACATCCCTAGCCATAAAAGAAATGCAAATCAAAACAACATTGAGATATCACCTCACTCCAGTGAGAACGGCAAAAATCAAGAACTCTAACAACAACAGATGCTGGAGGGGATGTGGACAGAAAGGAACCTTAATTCATTGTTGGTGGGAATGTAAACTTGTTCAACCACTTTGGAAAGCAGTATGGAGGTTCCTCAAAAGACTCCACATAGAGCTCCCCTATGACCCAGCAATCCCACTTTTGGGCATTTACCCTAATGTTTACAAACAAGACCACACTAAAGCTACCAGCACAACTATGTTTATTGCAGCATTATTTACCATAGCTAAGATATGGAACCAACCCAGATGCCCCTCAGTAGATGAATGGATCAAGAAAATGTGGTATATATACACAATGGAATTCTATGCCTCCATCAGAAAGAATGACATTGCCCCATTTGTTAGGAAATGGAAAAACTTGGAAAAAATTATATTAAGTGAAGTAAGCCAGGCCCAAAGAAACGTAGGTCCCATGGTTTCCCTTATTTGTAATATCTAGTATATGTATGAGTCAAGCGGAAAAGGTCAGATAATGTGATGTCAGGAAAATGAACCCTTAGATGTGTATTTTAATGTTTTTTTCTTTCATGCATGTGTTTCTAACACATTTATAAGATTATCTCTTTGTTGCTTTGTATGTCCCTCCCCCACAGTATAACCCTTGCTTTCACTATATTTGATGTCAGTATAACTTGTGGAGGAGATGGGGAAAAACCAGTTGTTTAAGGATACAGGTGGACCTGTTGCAACAATGAGAAGTACAAGTTGTCATGTCCAAAACGAACTTTACAATGTTGGTGAGGGGGGGGGGCTGGGGGGAGGGAGGAAGGAGAAGGATTGGGATTAGGGGGGGAGGGGGGAGGCTGGGAAGGGATGTGAAGGATAAACAAAGGAGGAGGCTGCAATGCTTGGTAAGAAATGTACACATTATCCTGCCCATGTAACTGTAACTCCTCTGTACAGTATGTTCACAAATAAAATAAAATTAAATTAAAAAAAAAAAAAAAAAAAAAAAGGCGGAAGTGGCTCTGTGGCTCAAGTGGTAGAGCACTAGCCTTGAGCTGAAGAGCTGAGGGACAGTGCCCAGGTCCAGAGTTCAGGCCCCACGATCAGACTCCCAAAAAATATTTTTAAAAAAAGTACTAAAACTAGCCAGTAGCTGGTGGCTCACACCTATAATCCTGGCTACAGAGGAAGCTGAGATCTGAGGAATGCGCTTCAAAGCAAGCCCAGGCTGGAAAGTCTGTGAGACTCTTATCTCCAGAAGGGAGTACAGCATGCACCTTCAGCCGAAAGGCGCAGGGAGAGCGCCCAAGCCCAGATTTCATGCCGCATGACCAATTAAAAAAAAAAAGATTAAAACGTTTAAATTCCATCACTTACTGTCTTTTAAGAATCCAAAAATGAAATAAATTCACATATAATCACTCCAAAATGCTTTAAAAGCGGGAGATGATAAACAAGCCTCCATGAAGTAAATTTTCTTCTACTTTTTAAATTATTCTGAAAGCCTTGTGCTGGTTGGTCACACCTGTAATCCTGTCTACTTGGGTATCTGCTCAGGAACCTGAGATCTGTGGATAACCGTTGGAAGCCAATCAGGACAAAAAATATTAATGAGATTATTTAAAAAAAATTACAATGGAATTCTATGCCTCCATCAGAAAGAATGACATTGCCCCATTTGTTAGGAAATGGAAAGGTTTGGAAAAATTTATATTAAGTGAAGTAAGCCAAGCCCAAAGAAACATAGGTCCCATGGTTTCCCTTATTTGCAATATCTAGTATATGTATGAGTCAAGCAGAAAAGTGCAGATAATGTGATGTTAGGAAAATGAACCCTTACATATGTATTTAAATGTTTTTTTCTTTCATGAATTTTTTTCTAACGCATTTTTAAAATTATTTCTTTGTTGCTTTGTATATCCCCCCCCCCCCCACACACACACAGTATAACCCCTGCTTTCACTATATTTGATGTCGGTGTAATTTGTGGAGGAGAAGGGGAAAAACAAGTCGTTTAAGGATACAGGTGGACACATTGCAACAATGAGAAGTACAAGTTGTCATGTCGAAAACGAACTTTACAACTTTGGTGTGGGGGGGAGGATGGCGTGGGGGGGGGCGGGGGGAGGCTGGGAAGGGATGTGAAGGGTAAACAAAGGAGGAGGCTGCAATGCTTGATAAGAAATGTACTCATTATCTTGCCCATGTAATTGTAACCCCTCTGTACAGTATGTTCACAATAAAAAATAATAAAAATATTAAAAAAAATTAATGAACTAGCAAAGAGCCAAGAATAGAGATGTAGCTTATATAGTAGGTCATCAATCTAGAGAGGAATGGCCTAGGGGGACCTTGATGCACTGAATTCAAACTCTGAGAACGAAAATGCGCAGGCATGCACACACACACACACACACACACACAAACACATTTATTCAAAATATATGCATATCAGTGTTTTGCATTAATTTCTTTGTTAATGATATTATATGGGTAAAATAGGGGAAATATTCTCTTCCATCCCATAACATTTTTATATTTTTTATTGTAAAAGTACTAAACAGAGTGGTTACAGTTACATGAAAAATTAATAGTTCATTTCCTATCAAGCATTGTTACCTCCTCCTTTGTTTTCCCCCGCCATCCCTTCCCTCCCACCTCCACAAATACACTCCCCTCCCCCACCCTCCTAAATTGTAAAGTTCGTTTTTCAACATACTTTCTTGTGCATCACATTGTTGCAATGGGTCATATTGTATCCTTATTTAACCATTTTGTTTTTTCCCTTTCCATCCCCAAATTAGAGAAGTGTATATACAAGATGGAGGTGCACTAACATCAGATAGAGTGAAAACAGGGGTTTAACTGTGGGGGATGCACATATAAAAAATCACATCGTACATTATAAATATATTAGAAACCACAGGAAGAAATAAAACACCACTTGTGTCCTTATCATGGGGTTCATTTACCTTAACATCATCTTATCTAGTCATATGCACAGGCTTTTGACCCTTTTTTTTTTAAATTGTGAAAATACCATACAGAGGAGTTACAATTACATGGAAAATGTAAAGAGTACATTTCTTATCAAGCATTGTTGCCTACTCCTTTTTTTCGCCTTACCATACCTTCTTTGCTTATCCCAGATATGCATTACTTATTGCAAATAAGGGATACCACAGGACCTATGTTTCTTTTTTTATATTGTGAAAATGCCATACAGAGGGGTTACAATTACATGCGTGAGTTATTGAGTACATTTTTTTTTATTGTGAGAATACTGACAGAGGAGTTACAATTACATGGGCAAGATTTCTTATCAAGCATTGTTGCCTCTCCTTTGTTTCCCCTTCCCATCCCTTCCCATACTCCCCCACTTTCCCCACCCTGTCCTCCTCCCCCCAAAGTTGTAAAGTTCATTTTTTGACATAATAACTTGTACATCTCATTGTTGCAATGGGTCCACTTGCTCCTCCTTTGTTTCCCCTTCCCATCCCTGCCCATCTCCCACCCCCCACACCCACCAACCCCTCCCCCCCCCAGCCCCCCCCCACTGTCCACATCCCCAACACCCGGCCAAAATCATTTTTTGACATAACGACTTGTTCATCTCATTGTTGCAATGGGTCCACCTGCATCCCTTTTTAAACGATTTGTGTTTCCCTTCCACTGCACAAAGTATACCAACATCAAACACAGTGAAAACAGGGGCTTTAGCTTGCAGGAGGAACATACAAAGCAACAAAGAATTCATCTTATAAATATCTTAGAAACAATCGCAAGAAATAAAAACCATTTGAATCCTTATCTTGGGGTTCATTTTGCCTTACATCAACTTATATGATGTTTTCTGCTTGTAGCAGACACATACTAGTTATTGCAATTAAGGAAACCATGGGACTTATCTTTCTTTGGGCCTGGCTTACTTCACTTCTTTGGGCCTGGCTTAATTCACTTAATATAATTTTTTCCATGTCTTTCCATTTCCTAACAAACTGGGTGATGTCATTCTTTCTGATGGAGGCATAGCATTCCAGTACACACACACACACACACACACACACACACACACACACACACACATTTTCTTGATCCATTCGTTTACTGTGGGGCCTCGGGTTTTGTTCTGTATCTTAGCTTTGGTAAATAATGCTGCAATGAACATAGTTTTGCTGGTAGTTTTAGTATGGTCTTGTTTGTGATCATTTGGGTGAATGCCCAAAATGGGATTGCTGGGACTTAGGGGCGCTCTATTGTAGTCTTTTGAGGAACCGCCATACTACTTTCCAAAGTCTTTGAACAAGTTTAAACTCCCAACAACAATGCATTAAGGTTCCCTTCTGTCCACATACCCTCCAGCATCTGTTCTTTTAAAAATCTAGAATGCATTCTCGAAGTTGAGTGTCATCCTCATTCAGGGGCTATTCTTCTCTTTATTGTTCCAATGTTAGTGTATGTGCTACTGAATTGAGCACAGAACATTTTTTATACATAAAGTGTAAATGATTTTCTTAAACTAGACAATTCCACAAAAATTAAATTCAAAAGAATTGTCGTGAAGCCGGGCGCTGGTGGCTCACGCCTGTAATCCTAGCTACTCAGGAGGCTGAGATCTGAGGATCGCGTTCAAAGCCAGCCCGGGCAGGAGAGACCATGAGACTCCTATCTCCAATAAACCACCAGAAAACCGGAAGTGGCGCTGTAGCTCAAGTGGTAGAGCGTTCGCCTTGAGCTGAAGAGCTGAGGGACAGCGCCCAGGCCCAGAGTTCAAGCCCCACAAACGACAAAAAAAAAAAAAAAAAAAAGAATTGTCGTGAAATTTTAGAACCATGTATTTCTTACATAAGAACACATTTAAGAATAAAGTCAAGTTTGACATGTCAAAAACAAAATAATACCAGATATTTGTTGTTCAACAGATGTGTAGGAGGAGGAATTCAATTATTCTGTACAAGGAACCTGCCCTAATGAACACTATAGAAAGTGTTAAGGTTTGTTAAAAGTTTTAATGTTTTAAATATGTTTAATTTTGGGAATTTGCTCATATATGCCAAAATTAAGACTATTTAGCAGGTTGTAAAACTTTTTCATAAAGCATTTAAGATTCATGGTACATACTACTAAATATGTACATTTCAGAGTTTATAGAAACTTTACTAATGGGAAGTTGCAAAGTGTTTGTGTAAAGAAGCAGATTTAAGACATTAACTGCACAGTTTCTGTTAAAATTTAAAGGCTTTTTTACTTTATATGTTAGTGAGGAACAAATGATGGTATAAGCCATATACAAATGATGAGATGAACCATAAATAATAATCTTAATAATAATAATCTTTAAAGGCTACTCATAGCCTATAAAATTCTTGTTGAACATCATAGACTTAGGCAGTTTTAAATGTACAACAATATGAGAAAATAATAAATCGAATATGTAGTACATTTCAAATACTGGAAACAGTGGTAATTTTTTTATTTTATTAATCATTAATATTTATGTATTGGTTTTCCTTATTTGTAGCATTGTTTTCCTTGTTGTAATATAAAACAACTTTTTGTAAGTCATCATTAGGAAGTACTTTGAGAATATTATTGGGATGGCCACACTGTTTTTTATAGGTATATGTGAATTTACAAAGAGCAAAATTAATAAGAACAAAATATTGATTAAAATTTTATCAATTAGAATCTGAATCAGGAGTGTTGATAAATGTCCACACCTAAAATCTTAGCCCTAGACTGAAACACTAGTGTTACAATGTTGAGCACACAAAAATGAGAGACTGTGTTTTGTTTTGTTTTTGTTGGGTTTGGGGCTTGAACTCTGGGTCCTGGGTGCTGTCTCTCAGCTCTTCAGCTCAAGGCTAGTGGTAATACTTGAGTCACAGCATCTCTTCCATCTTTTTCTGCTTATGTGGTGCTGAGGAATCAAACCCAGGACCTCATGCATGCAAGGCAAGCACTCTACAATGAATCACCCTCCCAGCACCTGAGAGACTGTGTTTTAAAAAATCATCTAAACAACATTTACTTTCTGTTTTGTGTTATATAATGAAATAAAGAATATCTTTTTATATTTTAGAATGGTCATACTTCTAAATTTATATTAAATTCAGCCACTTTATCCTTTTCAAAGTCATGTAATATCTCTGAGAGTTTGCTTTTGTAAAGATTGTTTTTTGCATTGATAATTTATTCTGAGTCATTTTTATTTTTTATCAAAATTACTTCATATTTTATGGTTTTTTGTGTTTTTTTTAAGTGTGAAAATACCAGATAGAGGGGTTACAATTAAATGGGCAAGGTAATGAGTACATTTCTTATCAAGCATTGTTGCATACTCCTTTGTTTCTCCTTACTATCCCTTCCCATCTCAACCCCCTTACGTAGCATTTCCCCATGTCTTATGTCCCATGTCTTGTATATCTCATTGTTGCAATGGATCCACCTGTATCCCTATTTAAAAAATTATTCCCCTTCCCCTCCACAAATTATACCAACATCAAATACAGCGAAAACAGGGGTTATACCATGCGGGAGGGACATAAAAAGTAACAAAGAAGTCATCTTATAAATATGTTAGAAATAATTACAGAAAAGAAAAATATTTTGAATTCTTATCATGGGGTTCACTTCACCTAACATCAACATATCTAACAATATCTTGTTTGTGATCATTTGGGTAAATCTCCAAAAGTGGGATTGCTGGGTCATAGGGGAGCTCTATGTGGAGTCTTTGGAGGAACCTCCATACTACTTTCCAAAGTGGATGAAAAAGATTACACTCTCACTAACAATGAAGTAAGGTTCCCTTCTGTCCACATTCCCTCCAGCATCTGTTGTTATTAGAGTTCTTGATTATAGCCATTCTAACTTGGGTGAGTTGATATCTCAGTCTTGATTGATTTGCATTTCTTTTATGGCTAGGGAGGTTGAGCATTTCTGCATGTCTTTATTGATCATTCTCCTTTCTTCTTCAGAGAAGTTTCTCTTTATGTCTTTAGCCCACTTATTTATTGGACAGAATTTTCTTTGAGTATTTGTTGTTGGGGGATTTAATTTTTTGATTTCCAGGTCTGTTTTAGATATGAAACCCTTGTCGGTTGTATGGGTAGTGAAGATCCTCTCCGATTCCGTGGACTTTCTATTGATCCTGCTAGTTATGTCCTTTGTTATGCAGAAGCTCTGCAATTACAAGCAATCCCATTTGTCCAACCTTTCTTTCATTTGTTGTGCTTTTGCATTTCTTTTCAGAAAATTTCAGCCTTTGTCAAGGAGACCTAGGGTTTCTCCTATTCCATTCTGTAATGTTTTCAAATTATCTGCTTTGACTCCGAGGTCTTTGATCCATTTGGACTTGATTCTGGTACAGGGTGATATATAAGGATCTAGCCTTAATTTTCTACAAGTGATTAACCAATTTTGCCAGTACCATTTACTGAACAGCCTTTCTTTGATTTTATCTTTTTAGATTCTTTATCGAATATTAGATGATTATGAGTCTGTAGGTTCATTTCTGGGTTTTCAATTCTATTCCATTGTTCCTGAGATCTTTTCTTGTGCCAGTAAAAAACTGTTTTAATTACTATGGCTTTGTAGAAGAGTTTGAAATTTGGTATTGATATTCCTCCAACACTGTTCTTTCTGTTAAGGATCGCTTTTTGCAATTGGGGGTCTTTTGTTGTTCCATATGAATTTTTGGATTGCCTCTTCTATTTCCTTGAAGAATGCGGTTGGAATATTGATAGGTATGACATTGAACTTATAGATAGCCTTGGGAAATATTGCCATTTTCACAAGGTTCATCCTTCCTATCGAGGAACATGGGAGGTTTTTGCCACTTTCTAAGTTCTGTTTTGATTTCCTTTTTCAGATTTTTAAAGTTTTCTTCATAGAAGTCCTTCACTTCTTTGGTTAAGTTAATTCCTAGGTATTTTATTTTTTGTGGGGCTATTACAAATGGAAAAGCTTTCTTGATTTGAGCCACGCTTTTCTCATTGTTGGCATACAGAAAAGCCATTAATTTTTGAGGGTTAATTTTATACCCTGCTATTTTTCCAGGTTTGGATCAGCTTGAGTAATTTGGGAGTGGTGTCCGTGGGATTCTTTAAGTACAAGATCATGTCATCTGCAAAGAGGGAGAATTTTACTTCTTTTTTCCCTATGTGGATCCTTTTTAGGTTGGCATATTGTCTTATTTCTGTAGCTAGGCATTCTAATACTAAATTGAAGAGAAGTTGAGAGAGTGGACATCCTTGTCTCATTCCTGAGTTAAAAGGAAATGGCTTTAGTTTTCACCATTAATTACAATGCTGGTTGTAAGTTTTCCATATACAGTTTTTATTGTATTGAGGAATGTTCCATGGATTCCTAATTTTTCCAAAACCTTCATCATAAAGGGGTGTTGGATCTGGTCCAATGCTTTTTCTGCATCTGTTGAGATAACCATGTGGTTTTAATCCTTGCTCTTGTTGATGTGATAAATTATATTAATTGTTTTGTGTATATTGAAACAGGTTTGCATCCCTAAAATAAATCCTGTATATTGGTGTATGATTTTTTGGATGAATTGTTCAAGTCGATTGGCCAAAATTTTGTTGAGGAGTTTTGCATCAATATTCATCAAAGAAATAGGTCTATACTTCTCTTTCTTTGATGAGTCCGTGCCTGGTTTTGGGATGAGGGTTTTGATGGCTTCATAGAATGTGTTCGGTAGTGAACTTTCTCTTTCAATTTCATTGAAGAGTTGGAGTAGTATTGGTGTGAGCTCTATTTTGAAGCTCTTGTACAATTCCGCTGTAAATCCATTAGGTCCTGGGATTTTCTTACATGGGAGGTCTCTTTTTGCTGTGTCTATTTCAATGCTTGATGTGGGTCCCTTAATATGCTTTAACTCATCTTGGTTTAGTATTTGCATGTTGATAATTGCTAGCAAAAGGTCCATTTCTGCCAAGTTTTCAAACTTATTAGCATAAAGATTTGAAAATATTCCCTTTTAATGTTCAGAATCTTGGTTGTTTCTGTGGTGATGTTTCCATTCTTATATCTTAGTTTATTTATTTGGGTGTGTTCCTTCTTTTTCTGATAAGATTTGCTAAGGGTTTGTAAATTTTGTTAATTTTTTCATAGAACCAACTCTTTGTTTTGTTGATTCATTCTGTTTTTTTTTTATTTCTAATTCGTTTAACTCGGATTTAATGTTAATTATTTCTTTCCATCTATTGAATTGGGGTTTATCTTGGTGTTCTTTGTCAAGGTGGTTCAGATGTCTCATTAAGTGGTTGGTTTCAGATCTCTCTAATTTGTTGGTGTAGGAGCTCAGAGCTATAAACTTTCCTCTGAATACTGTCTTTGCAGTGTCCCAGAAGAGCTGGTAATTTGTGTGTTCATTTTTTTGGAATATCATGGACATTTGAATTTCCTTTCTAATCTCTTCCATGACCCCCTGGTTATTCAACAGTGTGTCATCCAGCCTCCA